TACCTAGATGTCATTCTTGCGATCTTGTGAATTGTAATTATACAAAATAACACGCGATTAGTAGAAAAATAGTATATGGTAATTATATATATATATATATATATATATATTAAAAAATATTTTTATGATAAATATCTTATTGAATTATATTATGACTATTTTGGTCAAATACATGTTGCCTTCATTCTGGTAGTAGAATAATTCCACGTTTATAAAAGTTTTGATGTTTGCTTACAAAAAACGGATCCAAGTAATTTGTGACATTTTCATTTCAAGTAAACGTCTTACAGTTTAAAAAATTTTATAAAGACTGGAACAAGTAATAATCTGAGGTGCCTGATCTGGCAAATATGGTTGGTGTGATAGCACATCCCATCTGAGCTGTAACAGATATTTTACAGACAGATACAGATATTTTTTATTGATAATATACCAAAGGTACATTCCCGGTACCATTTACATACAACTGGGTGAGTCGCGACAATGAATACAGTTTACAAAGAAAATTGGTGAGAGGACAAATACCGTAAAAACAAGCTGTTGGAGATAAGTGACTAAGACAAACTAATAGATGCCAAAAGTACAAGTTTCAGAATTGAGATAAATAAAATGCATACAAAATAATTGAATGCAAAATACATAATGTAGAGTAAATAACAATAGTGAATATGATGCTTGTCATGTACAGTACCAAAAATAAAGCAAATGCGTTTACACAATCAGAAAGGGTATATGTACAGTAGAACTAAACGTGGGCACGCAGGCCCTTGTACGAACATCAAAACAACGTGGACATGCTGGTAGAAATGGCAAGTCCAATACATACAAACGCATATAAATAGAGGAGGTTAGGCTCAGAAGAGCACTAGATTTAGGTAGGCACGGTAGTTCATTTAAAGTACATGTTTACAAGGTTACAGAAGGCACTGTAGGTGTCCTTGTGCCTGAACAGACAAATGAAGTTAGAGGGAGGCCAGTTGTTGTAATTATGCTATAACAGTTTCTGACATGTTACCAAACTTGTGTGAAATTTGACATTATCATGGTAAAATACTACTACTGTTTTGTTGATCAATTCAGGCTGCCTTTTCTGTTTGATGATATTACTCAATTTGTTTACTTGATGGCAGTACACTTTCGAATCAATTGTTAAATTGTCTGGTAAAAGCTCAAAAAAAATTTTTCTTAAAATCCCACCAAAGAGAGTATCTCTCTTTAAGAGCATGTGGAACCCATATATTGAGCTTTGAAACAAAACCAATTCGTTTCAAGTAATCATAAACAGTTCAATTCGACAAATTTAATCTTAGTGATTTCACATGCTGTTATTTGGCAGTTTGCTTCAATCAGTACCTTTATTTTGTTTTCACTGGCCATCCAGAACGTGGTGTATCTTCAATATTGAAATTGCCAGAACGAAATTTTGTAAACCAGTTTTGGCACTGTCTTTCTCTCAACACATCATCTCCATATATGTACCACAAGTTTTTTCTTGTTTGAACAGCATTTGATTTTTTGGTAATAATAAAGCAAAATATGCCAAAAATGATGCTTTTGATTTTCCATATTTGATGGGACACCAGAAAAAAAATATTGTACAGAATCAAACAAGTTTTTACAAATAAGCCTTAAAATGTCAGCTGTCAAAATATATAATAAAAAATATGGTTTAAAATGAAATTGGCTGGTAAAATACATCTAATTCCTCTATTAATAAAAAAAACGAAATTACTTTCCGAATAACCCACCAGGAACCTTATTATTACGATCATGACCTGACTGTGAGAGAGAGAGAGCTTACAATCATTTACATGTTGATAAATACCTTAAGAGTTCATAGAAATTGAAGATCCGTTCGAAACTTTCAGGGCGTAGGGAGTCACTTTTTTCTGAAGCAGCAACGATTTCTCTTGAGCGATGACAGATTCTCGAGTGCGATGGCAGCGGTGATGACAAGTGGCTGGACACACACAGTTCAAGAAAAAACTGGATGATGGCTGCTGCTGATTGTCATCACCCCTCCTTTTTATTAGGGAGCCCCTCCTGGGTTTTTCCCATGACTTGGTTAGGAATTTTAGTATATTGGGACCAATAGTCAATTTTTAACTTGTTGGTTCCGGATGAGATATCCAATGTGTCACCTTCAACAAGGAAGTAAGTTTGTGGGAACCAGTTTTAATTGACTTTAACATTTTCGTTTTTTGTTTTGTCTCTCTAACTTTTTCTCTTGACAAACAATATTTAAACAAAATATCTCACCAATTTCGGCTCTCACAAAACTTATTACCAATGTTTTTCTGTAATATTTCAGTAATGAACTTTGTCATTAATACTTTATGTAGAGTACATATTAGGACTCACCAATGGCCAAGCAGTTCCATTTTCTGAACATCAGAAGTTCGGTTGTGGGTTCATGCCTCACCTGGACAGGTTGGTCACATGGAGTTTACTGGGTTTTCTCCACACCCTTGAATAGGGGCCAGTTACCCATAACAAGACTTCTCAGAAGGTATTTTCCCTAGGCAGATTGCCCAAGTGTTGTGTTGTTGTAACTTAACAAACAACCAGTACATATGAATATGAGAAACTAATATTCTAAATCTGTGGCTCTCAAAGTGATGTTACCAGTCTTGGGGTGGTGAGTAAATCTAGGGGGTAAAAAAAGGCAAGGGGTCACTGAAGGTTGGGTCCTGACTGATTGATGACCATATGCAATGCTTTAGGTCATTGGCAGCCTTTCCCTTTCCTTCATTAAAACAGGTAAGAAGAAACATTTTAATGGTTTCAGGTAAGGAGAACAATGTACTGTACGGTAAGGACATAAAGTGTGAGGTTTGTAGCAAAGTTTTTTTAAGAATATTCCCAAGTCTTTCTCGTGCAAGGGAAAATGGTTGGGGTGTTGGGTATAACTTTATGGAACCAGGGGAGTGGTGGCACAAAAAAGTTTCAGAATCACTGTTCTAAATTATTATTTTTAAATATGAAATAGCTATTAAAAACATACATAAAGCTTTTTAANAATAAATATTAATGTAAGTTAAATATTAAAATACTAACTATAAAAGTATTTGGGTAAATGCCCAGGCTCCTTTCACAGTTCAGAGTAGGGTACCCCCTGTGAGTGCCTCTGCCCTCATAAAATGACTTGGTTTTAAGTTTTCCTGGAGTTGGCTTACTATAATTATCAGGAGTCAGAGTCAAATGTTTTTTTTTACCGATTCTGCAGTCCTGCTTCTGATGAAAATAAAATAAACTGTAGTTTAATTTAAACTTAGTACATGCAATATCAAAATTAGAATATAACAAGGAAAATCTAAAAATGTTCTCTTATAAATGTTGGAAACAGTAATCTTGCCAAAAAGTTATCACTTATCATGGTGTAGTGTTAAATGATCTATCATAGCTGATGATTTTGTTTTCTGAATTTTTGATAATTTTAAAGGGTAAAAAAGTAATAAATTGAAAAAATGTTTAGATGATGCTGTTAGCTTGGAAAAATGTTATTCGTGTTGATTGTTGGGTTATATTTTAAAGTAAATTTTTTTCACTATTTTTAATTATTTGTTTTTTATGTAATATAAACTTTTGTTCTTTATTCAAAATGGAATATTTGTGATCTGATAATGTGGAAAAATGTCTCAGAAAATATTTAATCTTAATTAAAATATTCAGACCGTATTTTAGCATTTTTATATTTGTCTGATTGTTTTGATGGAGTTGTATGTATCTGAATGTATTTATCATTTATAAAGGAAAAATTTGCATTTATGGAGATAGAAAAGGATAAATATAAATAAATATCAAGCTGATGATGATGATAAAATTAAAATATAAATTTGAAAATCAAACAATTTTTATTTTTTATTTTATCAACTTTTCTCATTGTACATTATTATTTTTCAGCACGACTCTACCTTAGACAAAATTGAATAAAAAATTTTAACAGAATTTAGAAACGTCTGCTCGAACACAAAGAAAGCACGCACTGTAGCACATCTGAGGAACTTTCCATTTGGCTTTTATATTAATAACTATAAAAATTTGTTTGGCTAATTTACCATAAGATTAAATGACAAATAATTAATATCCACTGTTCTGGAAATCAACCAGAAGGATTTTTAAGAGCTCTTTCATTATAATTTGAATAAGTGATACCAACAATGGCAAGTCCTCAGTGGAAGGTAAGCATTTTTATTATTGTTGTTGTTATTTTTTATAAAATGAAATTTTATTATACAGTTAAATTTAATATTAAAGAAATAGTATTCTGGTATTTCTTTTCAGATAAATGTATTTTGAGACAGATACAGACCTATCTGTGACTGTCTTACGATATCAGATGTTATACACTGTAGCAGTTCTTTTTTTTTTTGGTCACTTCATCAGTTCTAAATAAATTTGATTAACACCATTTAAACACTAAATTGAATAAAACTAATTAAACTAGAATAAATATTACCATAGTATAATAATTGAATTATATAGGATGTCTACTTAAACATCTGTATGGGGACAAAAGATATCTTTCCAGCATTGCACAATTGTATGCATGTGGTGCATTTATATTCATTGCTAAAATAACTAATACTTAAATATCCAGGGGCAAAAGATTAATTCATTTTAAAAAATGCCACAATAAGAGTTAGTTAATGATTCAATAAAATAAACCATTCAACAAAAGGAACTTGTGACAATTGCATGGTAATTCAGCTTCAATATGTAAATTTTTCAAAGGTAAGACCAAGATTCAAATCATAAAATCAATCTTGACAAATCATATTGCAATACACAATGTAATTGTCTCTAAGAGTCAATATGATGCAGTTTATTAGGTTATGGAGTATAACAACAATGCCTTATACTCTTGAATAATACTGATGGTTATTTTATACAGTGGTATCTCATACTTCGAATTTAATTCATTCCAGTAGGCCATTCAAACCCTGAATTGTTTGAAGTCCAAAGCGATTTTTCCTATTAGAAATAATGGAAAGTGAATTAATCCATTCCCAGACCCCCGAACAATTCCCATTTTGATAACTTAAAACAGCAAATACACATAACTTAAGGTAAAAATAACACAATTAATGCCCTAGTAATAAATAAAATATGTAAATAATATAAAATAAAATGAAAATTGCATTTACTTGTCACACTGTCAACTTTGGAATCTTCAACCTGGCTACCAGATCCACGACATGTGTACTACTTTCATGCTTTGCAATAAGTTCCTTTTTCATTTTAGCCTTTTTTGTGCCTTCCTTATACTAGTTAGACTTTGTTGTTTCCACATATTTCTTGGATGCCTTGATTAATAAATAAAGGTTATATTGGGTTGAACAGAAAGTTTTTGCATATTTTTAACAGTTGTCATTACTTAACATAAGTGTGTTATTTAATTGTAATAGTTGCAAATTTTAACACATTATTATTAATTTGAGATTATATTTTTTTGTTCACATGCTTATTTTATGCTTTGAATGCATTTTTCATTCTGCACATGCTTTGAACTCTGAAAAATTTGAAGTTAGCATTACTTAAATTATGAGATAACATTGTACAGAGGAACAAGACAGAATACAAGAGAAGCAGCTCAGATTTCACGACTGTTTTCCAGTTGCATCAAGACCAACATATATACAATGATTTTGAGTGTTATTTGTTGCTTTACACCAGGGGTCGCCAAAGTGGCCAATATAACATTATTTGGGGTCGATTATCAAGCTTGAGCTAAGGATCAAGCTTATCCGTCTCACTGATTGTCAGTTTAAAAATTATTATTAACAAATATATAATAAATGAAAAAATGCAAAATTAAAAGAAATGTATTAAAATAGTAAGTATTTTGTTTTGCTTGTAACATAAACTTTTTGGTGGAGGTCGATGTGAGGTTTCGAAAACTTGTAGGGGGTCGACGATCAAAAAAGTTTGGCGACCCTTGCTTTACACAGACACTAGTACAGTTGGATATCAAAGACCAGGTTTTGCTCATCTAATAGCATGAACATGTTTGTGTACTTCCATGCATGAGGACTGCATTAGACCCAAATATACAAATATTATATTGCCATGACTTGCATCTAATCTGCAACTTGCACAATGTGCACAAGATGTCACACAGGGATTTCAGTGATGCCACACAGGGATTTCAGTGATGCCACATGATAAATTTACAGTGTACTGAACCACAGCTCCTTCAGCATATTTTATGGACTAATCGGGCATTGTTTTTCCAGAATGGAGTGTATAAACATCACAGCTCGAACCATTGGGCAGAGCGTGCTCCACAATGTGCACAACATATGCGATACCCAGTGTGTTTTATCTAAATGTTTGCTGTGGAATTTGGAGTGAGCAGCTTCTTGGTCCCATATTCATTGACAGCATTCATGACTGATATCTGAACATCCTAAACATGATGAATAAATGGCTTGATGACTTACCTTTAGCACAACTATACAGCAGGTTTGGAAGCAGCACAATGGTGTAACAGCTCATTTCCAGAAAGACATGCATCAGTGCAGTTTGCACAGCAGTTTGGCAACTGTTGGATAGGACAACATAGTTCTCTTCCATGGTCACTTGTTCCCAGACTTCTCTTCTCTGGATTTTGGGATTTTTCTTGTAGGGTCCTCTAAAAGAATTGCTGTATGATGCATACCCATCAGCACTAAACAATGATAGTGAACTGGAGAAAGACATACGGGAGACCTGTGAAACTGTGATACCAGGAATGGTGTATGCCATCTTATAATGCCATACTCAACTGTCTGCCTTCAGTGACAATGTAAAGATATAGTCATTTTGAACGTTAAGCTTTACTTTGTTCTCTAACAAAGTAAAGCTTAATTTTTTGTATCAATTTGCAGTTTGCAATGTTGTCTTTATTCTTTACAGTCAGAGATTATTTGTGTTATGCTAGATTGTCTTAAATTGATTTCCTGTGGTTATTTTAGTGTTGGAACAGGCATTCACCACATCATACACTTGTGCAGTACTGGAAAGATTTCTTTTGCTCTTGGACAGATATTTAAATGGCCACATTGTATAGCTAAAGTAGTAAAAAACAGGATACCCAATAGTGTAGAAACATAAATGAATATTTACAAATTGAAGATGTGCCTTGTTAGTAATGATTATGTATTGATAATGAGGAACAATACAATGAACATATCATATATTGTAATATAATACTAGTAAATCATTTATTATGTATATCTGATTATGTTTTCAGACCTTACGATCACTTTGTAGATAATTAGAATTTATAATTAGTAATTTAATAAAATTTATTAATCAGTTGCTATCAGAAAAATTATAGGAGGAAAAGAAACTGATGCAGATTATCTGCATTGATTAATTGCATTGTTTACTAAAAAATCTGTTCATATTTTTCATTCATTAAATCTAATGCTGTTTTTTGATATCTTAATTTCTTACCAGTTATGTGAAAATTCATTAAAATTCCTATCCCATTTTAACAAATTTATCAAATCCCATAATTTATCAAAAGTGCTAGATAGTCTGATGCATTTAGATCAAAATACAAAATAATAATTATTCTGTCATCAATAAAAAGCAAAAACAAGAATTCTAAAAAGTATTTTATTCATCATTTAACTAAAATTTTCTGCACAATAACTCACAGCTTAGAAAGGAAGATGATATAGAAAAAAGTAATTTTCATTTAATAATCAAACTATAAATGTGATTATTATTATTTTCTGTGGGATTGTTATATTTGGATTGAAAATATTGTTTTTGGAAAAAAAAACTAATGGCTACAAATTAATGAAAATTGGAAGCAGAAGAATAAATAGAAAAATATTTAAAAAGAGAATAATTAGTTGTTATAGCTGTTATATACAGTACATTTTTGTTGGCAAATGTGATAAACTGTTTGTTACCTAAACATGTTTATAGTAGAATGTTGTATGTTTTATATAAACATCAATAGATGAAAGATGTAATTACAGATTATTTCTCTGAATTCTGGAAAATAATTGGGAACAAGTATTTGCTATTCTTTGAATCAATTTTTAAATTTGAAATAAAAATTAGTTTATTTTGAAGCAATATCTATACTTTTTCTAGACTCAACTATTTTGTACCAGCACTATATATTAAATACAGTATCATTCAATTTTATGGATTGTCTCTCTTAAAAATAATCATAAGAAATAAATGATCATTTATCATTTCTTAAAACCATTTTACTTTTATTATACATATTTCATACTTAATATGTATGTTTTTGGCAGTGACTTGGCATTACAGTATTGTGTGTCAAAGAATAATAATAAAATATTACATTTAGTGGATCATAGATTTTAAGAAAAAGTTGTAGGTAAACTTATTTTATTATTAAAAAAAATTATTTATTTTATATAGTATATTATTATTATTATTAAACATAGAAATGGCAATTGAAACAATTAATGAGATGTCTTCCATAATTAGAGTAGAAAACTGAGGAAGTAATTGAAAAAATATCTGATTAATTTTCAGATATTTATTTTTGTAATTATACACAGATCTAAATATATAAAATTGCTTGTCCTGACTGACTCACTGACTGACTGATTCATCATCGCCCAGAGCAAACTGCTTAACCTAGAGAGGTGAAATTTGGTAGACAGTTAGGGTACGTCATGGAAACACTAA